CTAGTGTGCTGCTCTACGTGTGTTGCAAAGCAATATTATCGTCCTTGAACCCTTAAAACCTCATAATAATAAAATCTGAAAATAACCTTTTCACCTAAAATTTTCTTTCTCTATTTTTAGCTTTAAATTTACCTGTTTGAAAATGCCTAAACTGTGACACCATTTCTTTACAGTGTTTTGTACTCCATGCAATTTATATAAAAAGAAAGTAAGTAGTGTAATTTGTTATATAAAAAGTATAAATCATGTTCCAACTATTACATACAAGTTTATTAAAAAATATGTTTCAGTAAACATGACAAAGACAGTACTGCTCCCAATTATTTGTTTATTAGCTGAAGCTTATCTTATCTTGCAAGCCCTCAGAATTGTAGCCTTGGGGTAAGAATAGCATTATTCAGTGAGCTGGGATATTCGTGTTTCTTCTCCCCTCTCTCCCTATCTGGCTGCTTCACACATGCACTCACCGTCTGCTGACCTCACCTGTGAAGCCGGAAACAAACAAACCCCATCTGGTGAAGTGTGCAGTCCATTAGCATACCATTGTCTCCTGCACCAACACAGGAAATTCACTGCCATCCATACACTGTGTTCTCTCTCTATCTCCATCCAGCAGGCAGAAATTATCATTACCATGGAGACCGTAGAGTGCTCATCACAGAGTAGAGCACTTATCCCCAACTCTGAACAAATGTACAGTTTGTTACATACTCGACAGCAGGTTGTTACGTAGCGCCATGTTCATTCAGTCTTTCAGATCAGGCTTGGCTTTTTCCCCCATTTTATTTGTTTCTTTAAACAGTTTTTCAGGATTGAAAAGAGCAAAACTTTTTAATGCATTACTCTTAATATTGATCAAGATATGATTACTCAATTTTTATGTGCTTTTTTTTCCTTTTTTTTTGGACATAAAGGTAAAGGGTGATAAAAGTTACAAAAGCCATCATCCATTTACAGCCATTAGAAACAATCTACCATTTCATACTGCAAAAGTTTAATTCATTCAACCACATATTTACATTTAGAATATTGTGCAACCGCTTGGTCAGAACACCATCTACAACCGTCAAGCCACTTATATACAATTGTCTAATTAAACTTTGGATAGGAAGTCAGAAAGACCACTGCTATGTTCTTAAGAAATTAAATATGTTAAGTTTTGGTACTTATATTTAATTTGCTCATCTTAAACTCATTTAGTTTTGAGCCAGGGAACCCATGGAGTGTCTGGTTGGAACTGTGGGCTGCCATTATGTAAATCCTGATGTATGCACTGTGATAGCCCCTGTTAGAGTTAATGAATGCAACTGGAAGCTCCTGGCCCATCTCTAAAAGCTGGCTGCCTCAGTTTTTGCTCTCTCTCCATCCACCCAGCACCATGCTATTTGCCTTGCTGATATAAGCTTTTTTTATTTTAGGTTCTACATTGTACAACATCATACACCAATATTTACTGTATAGATTTTGTTTCTTAGTATCTCTTGTGTATGTGTTGCTTAGTTTTGTGTATCTTATATGGTCTGATTGGATGAGTATTTGACCTACTGATAGCAGTGAACCACGATGTAAATATTACTTGTACAGAACTGGATAGCATTTCAGTGTTTAGATTAGGAACAGGCAAAGATAAGTAGTTAATTTCCATAAAAGGCCAGATAGGGGCAGTGTTGTCTCGTAGTTAAAGGCTTTTTAGATGCAGAAGTAATGGAGCCTATGAATAACATTTTAGAATCAGCATGACAGGAATTCCAGTATCACTGCATATGTTCGGTTGAAATCCTTTTTAGTTCTGCATCTCTGCCTTGTTGTATTACAAACAACTAAAGTAAAAGATGAAGGAAATCATTTAGTTTCAGTCTATGATACTGTAAGGTCATTGCAATGCACGGATTCCTGAATTTTTTTTTTTTTATTGTTTACAGTTGCCAGTTAAATAAAGCTGAATTGACCTTTATACTTTAGTGTCTGTCTGTCTGTCCCACTTGTGCGTATCAGTGTATACAGAGCTATCTCTGTTCATGCCCATAGTATTTATATCCTCCTCCCATATCTTCCCACAGCAGAGGAAAATGATCTTCACTTGAAAGACCATCTGCAAATACCACCCAGGGCACTGTAACGTTCCCAATATAACCTCCCGGCACAGCCGGCTGGGCTGTTCCAGTCAATGGCCTCACACAGTCTGGAGTGTTACTAATGTAACAGTTTCCCACTCTGTTTTTCTTTGGTTGTGCTTTTTTTTTGCATTTAATTAACACCATGATGAAAGGGGACGATTCAGAGGAAGTGGATATAGATTTGGGGGACTCCAGTGACCCTGAAGACTTTGAAAATGGGGAGCAACGTGAGACACTGTGGAAGGCCTCTCCTGCTATGGAAGAGGAGGAAAACATTCACACGTCTACACTAGTGGAAATCAGTGATACCAAGCCGCTGATTAATGCAAGAGACCCCCGAGGTATCAATGACTGCCTTAAGGTATTGCATTCTTTCTGCAGTGGCTCTATTAAACTTTATCTGTACATTTGTCATGCTGCACATTAGCTGAAAAAAACAGAAAGCACTTAAATATTGACACAGGGGACCAAAGAGCTGCTTTACTGATTGCACCGCTCTCTAGTGGACATCATTTATCTGCAAAAATTGAATCAAGACCCCAAAGAACACTAGCTATTGGTTTACCTCGGTAGCACTAGCATCAGTCTCTCTTTGTTTCTTTAGGTGACGTTTGAGGATGTTATAGCTGAGCCGGTATCAGTGCGGAGCGGTGACAGAGTGTGGATCTGGAGCCATGCCCTGTTCGAGGTGTCTAGGATTTGGATTTACCGGATAGTCACAGTATTTTTAGCCATTCCTGTGTCAATAATCTCTGGACTCCTGTTCGCCATCCTCAGCTGTCTTCATATCTGGTAGGTTTAGATTCGGACCTCTAGGTTAGTAATTAAGATTTTTGTTTTCAATTAAAGTAATGTACAGGTGACCTTTTGTGACCGCTTATTGAGCCTGCAGACACAACAGTGAAAGAATGCATTACTATACATGTTAATCTTTCCCCAGTACACATCATACTGTGGTATAGCAGCAGGAACTAGACAAATTTTTCTTCAGCTTGATTTTTTTTCCCCAACCATCATAAAAGACTAAGCCTTCCTAAGACTGACACATACAGCTGCGGTCAGAGAATATAACATCCTCCTCCATAATGGTTGTTATAATTATAAACTGACACAGAAATGAACCATGCCAACATAAGTGCATTTTGCCTCTGTTGGGTGGCTCCCTAAATTGGCATCAAAACATATCCGAACCTCCGGCCTCGAGGCTAAAGAGCCACCTGACCCCTCTGGAGATGAGACAAGAATCTGAGAAATATTGATGGGGAAAAATTTTCTATAATGCTATTAAAGTGTCACTCCATGGGCGATAGCTTCCGTGGCCTGGAGGGAGCTTTCAAATCGCTCAAAGAAATGACCTCGATGATGTCAATTAAAACCTTGTGGTTATGTGAAGTCTGAAAGACATGACTGCTGAAAGGTGGGATGGGTCTGATTCAAGCCCCCCTCCAATTTTGTTTTGGGAAGCCAGGTGTTTTCCGAGCTTTTCTGCATTAGGATAACTTTAAGATGCCATATACCGTAAGTACTAATCTCTTCACTTCATTGTTGAGAAACAAACTGTTATAGCAGAGTGTTATATATTAATTCAACATGAGAAATTAGAAATAGGAAATTATTACTGTTACATATTAAAACAAACATTTTTGTGTTCTCTTCTATGACAGGTTGGTTAGTCCCTGTATCCAGTGTCTCCTTATTGGCACTCGCTGGCTGCAGAGCCTATGGAGCATTGTCCTTGGTGTCATTGTACAGCCTTTTCTCACAAGTGCTGGAAAATGTTGTGGTGGCTTCAGCATTCACCTGGCCAAAGAATGAGACTCACATGTGAGAAGCACTTCAAGACTGCAAATGCTCATTGACATGGACAAGTGCACTTACTGTTGTGTGGTCACGTGGACCCAAACCAAGCAGCATTTAAAAAAAATACTTTATCCAAAATGTAACACCCATTATTTATAGCTATTATTAAAGTTCGATAGTATCTGCTGAGACTTGAAGTAAAAAATCAATGGTGACGCAATTCTTCGTTTCACATTCGGGATGTGAAACCATTTTAGTGACTCTTTTTGCTCAGCATGTAGTTCTTTTTTCACTCTGAGGGATTATAGTTTAAGAAATGCATGCAGAAATCATTTTTTGCAATTTGAATATTACATAATATGTAATAGAGTTTGGGCTTTTCAAGATCTAGGTTTGAGGATGTATGAAAAGGGGCTTTAACAATACTTTGTCTAGTCAGAAAAAAAGAGTTCAGTTACCTTGTACCAAGTGTTGAAATGAGTTCTACTTTGTCAATGAAAAAATATTTGAATGTGTGAATCTTTCATTTCACAATTTTAATCACTGGACATGAGCTTCTCCTCTATCACGGCTCAGTTGTGGTCATAGAGAAAGAAACTTTATAATTGTTAAAGGTTTAGCATTGAACAGAATATCAAGAATATATTTCTGAATAATAATAATTAATATTTGATGTATTGTCCTGGAAGGAAATGAAAGTAAAAGACATGGTTTAATATGGTTTTTAAACTAATACACTTTTAGACTTATTATTGATATTAAAAAGACATTATTAAAGCATTTTTCAAATACAACGATGATATGCTCTTTTGTTGCAACATCCCTAATATAAGGTTAAGTTTTCCTGTGTCATCTCTTTATCTTCTTGCTTGAAGACAAATGACCATGCAGGGAGATACTGTACATCCAGTTAGTTATTGTGATGTGTCAAGATTGCCTACAGTACATTTAGCAATTTGAGGCCGCAAACACTTGATTGAAATAGGTGTTTCTGATGTCACTCTTCCACTCCCACAGCTGTCAGTAACAACAGGCAGGAACAGATGTGCAGTGGCATCCACATTCACACGACAGAGATCGACTTCACTGGCACACTTTATTGTTGCAGAAATCCATGCACATCAGAATTTACTGTAGCATATGCTATGTCTAAGAGAAATCTCTGTTAGATATAATATCTATAGACAGACAGGATGGCAGAAAGTGGACAGATAACTATCATTCATGACTTATGAAATTTACTGTGTGATGGTATTGGACCAATTACGTATTTGCAGATTTATTTCCACACTGATTTGAGCTTTTGAGGAAAAAAAAAGTCTTTGTTTCTTATAAGTGTGAATTATGAAACTTTGGTTGGTTTGGAGGGTTCAATCTTCAGGTCAAATTAGTATAACTTCACCCAAATCACAAATCAGAGCACTTTCCCTCTCACAGACAGACTGTTTTTTATTTGACAGCTCTACTGCTGACACTAATGCCCCAACCCTTTTATATAATCCCCTTCTCCACCTTAAAGCTTCTCCCTGTGGAGGCTATACACTACAATGTTTTCTTTGACAATTCACAACAAACATATATGAATAAACGTAGCTGACCTTTCACATCACACATTACATATTACCTTACCTTTACACATATTTTTTGTTGCAAAGAAAGATGAAAATGATAACAAATTCTTTTTAAATTTTACATCACATTTTGTTCAAATTCTATACACGATATATATAAAACACCATTTGTACTGTTTTCTGTCACCAGTGGGTGCAGGGTGTCATCTGGACAGGAAGTTTACATTGTCAGTTTAGCTCGATTCAAAATGTTACAGAAAAAATGTGCAGCAATAGCCAGCACACTGCCTCTGTTGTCAGTTAAATGGGTGAAATGGGTAGCTGCATGATTGCTAGATTACTTGATTGCACGAAGCTTGCATGCCTTTTAGCTGGCTTTTCAGTGTACCGTACTGGATGTGCGTGAGAGGCTCCTCTGACTGTTGGTGTTCTTGTTAACGTAAGTGGAGGAGCCCCTTTTGTGTCTGCACTGTTGATCACAGCTGCACGAGCACTCTGTCAGGTACCGTCGACAGCAGCAGAAGAAACACTGCATCAGGTCATGGAATAGGTGACCCGCGAAGAACATGTAAATCCACGGGTTACAGCAGCTATTGAGACTGGCTAGCAACATTGCAATGATGAAAGCCATGTCTAGGAAGACGGAGAGAAAGAAGAACATGTAAGAGGTTATTTTGAAAGACTTTTTTTCCCCTCTTCATACATTCTTCTTTTAGTCTGTTATTTCCCAGAAAAGCCACAACCAACATTGAACTGACTCTACTAACAAATATCAGCTGTGTAGCTCGACTGATCTTATCCAGATGATATTAAAAACATATGAGTGACACGCAGCGTTAAACTGGATAACATGTTTTGTCATAAACATGACCATTGGCACAATAATTTATAACCACATTGGCGTTCAGTCCTACAGATATATTTACCAAATAATTTGAAACAAATACATACCCAACAAATACACTGTCTTCCTGTTTTAAATTGTGTATTTTTGAAACTTTCTTTTAATACTTTAGTAGCAAACTACTTTTTTTTTAAAGATTTTGATCATCTGTAGAAACCACCAGATGTGAGAATTATAGCTACAAACAGTTCGGAGAAGCGTTAAGAGACAAACTAACACGTATCTAGTTGTCAGCTTTTCACTGCATTTGCTGACAGTGATGAAAATAAAGATGGGAAAAATACCAGACCTTGCCACCATGAATAAAATGAACAGTTTAGAAAGAAGAAGTGGGTTGATCTTTAAAAAGACTCTAAATTAGCAAGTCTTTCCCCATCACAGTAAGATGCAATCACTCGATGCTTAGGTTTGAAAGTTTGTTTATTCATAAGTTGTTCAAGCTTCACGAGGCTCTAGAAAGGGTAATGGCAATTTATTACTTGAGCCAACACTTTTAGTTTGTATTTAAATATCTGAACAACTACTTTATAGTCTAACAACTTAAACACCCTGCTTTTTCATCAAGCCCCACCATCTGATGTAATATTTTAGGATAGCATATCTAATAGTGTGGTTGATAATCTTTAAGGTCACTAAAAGTACTGGGTTGGGGTCATAAAACCCAGTAAAACCACTGGGGCCCTTTTTAATGCTTAATTTTATGTATGTATTGTAAATCTGTCAATCTGATGTACTTATTGTATACCCATATTATTCATACAGAATTATATTAGCTGACAAGCTAATGCAATTCAGACTTCCTCCTCCAAAAAACATTTTGGATCATAAAAATGAAACATGGTAGCTGCTGGATGCCTCACAGATAGAACTTTAGGTTGCTTGAAAACAAATATGACGAACAGCTTCGATTAAAAGAACCTGTCCTTGGTGGAAAAAATACAGCTTTTTTTTTCATTCACTCAATTGATTACATTCCAATTATTAGAGCCCTGGAGTACACTGAATAAGCACATAATCTGAAAAGTGGAAAGTGGACAACTTCCAAGTCCCCCCTCTTTATCCTAAATAGGGTGAGAGAGATTTAGAGCTTGCTGGCGTCGGTCCTCAAGCACTGACCCATTCTCTTCCCTGTGCTCTGACTCCCCACAGTACTTTGCTTTATTGTGAGAGGTGTGCCAACCAAATGGCCCATCAAAATTCTGAAAAGTGTTTAACAGCCTGCCCCGAGTTGTAAAATCATTTGGTGCAAGAAATCCTAGCCACTGGAAACAGAGAGGGAAAAAAAACTGAAAATGACAGCATTCAACTTTTCCTTTTTATACTGGTACAATGCATTCATCACTTTCTGAAATGAAAGAAAAACATTTATCTTAACTCCTTTTCAGCATTGTGATTTACTGCTCTTTTCAGGAGAAATATAAAGGATGAGATGTCAACTTCAAAAACAGAGCTGCTGTCACTTTGTGGAAGAACAGGCTCTATATCAAAGATAAGTTTGAGGATAAAAAGTTAAGAAAACATTGCAGGAGTGCAAGAAGCCACATTCTCCTCCATTATCAGTGAATCCTTTGGAAGTTTTACAGTGTGATGTTATGACTGAAATGCAGGCCCTGGAAAAAAGTTCACAGGTTTCATGCTGGATCAAATGCCCTGATAAACACGACCTTCATGGAGTCTTAACCCATGTGGCATTACTTCAAAGAGACTGCAATGAGTCAGAAAATATAGAGAATCTAAATTATCTTTACTTTTGCATATAGATTTGCACAGAGACTTTCCTTGGAAAAGTATTTTTTGAAATCTAAAAGAATTTGATGTGCACTGAAACCACAAAGCCTGATTTAAATTCAATCTGTTGTCTGCCTCTCATAAAACTGCTCCAGTTCCACAAATTATACTGATGTATTAAGCCCCACTGTATTTTTGTTATGCCCTGTAAATAGTACCAGAGGCAGACCAGTCACTCACTCTTATGATTTACTTATGCAAGCATGACTATATGTCAAAGGAATTTTTTGTAACCCTCTACTGATTTATAAAATTTTTGAGCTCCTTAAGCAATGCTTTCTTACTTGCTTCAAGTTAAAAAGTATAATTACAATTAAAAAGGCTTTTTAAAATTTACCAGAGTGGGAACAGTAGAGAAATGATTCTACAATAACAGTCTGCTGATAAGATAATAATATGTGCAACACCGAAAGAGGCTTCCCCGCTGCTTGCATGACAGACAGAGACGTGGCAAAGATTAAGTCAGTGGTAGGTTTGGAAACCCTTCTCCAGTCCTTGGCTTGGCTTTGTTCGTAATAAAAAAGACTGATCAGTTTAAAGTGATTGCACTGTTCGTTCCCCTATTCTTCATTATTATTTGGATTTACAAATATTAAATATATGCTTAATATTAGAGTGTTAAATCCGGTAACATTGCTATCCCACTGAGTTATAAAGAAGGAAACAAGTTTTTATTGTGGCTGCTTAATGGCAAAATATATGTGTAACTTTTTTTCAATTATTGTTCAGGTGTATTTATTGAGAAACAGATGATACTGCTTGACCTGAGTAAACCAAGAAGATGAAGACAGAAAATTTTTTTGAAAGTTGATATAATATATGAATGTGAGACCAACATAAATTTTCTTTATTTCTAAAGTTTTATTCTTTATTTCTAAGCCACTAAACGTACTTTTTGTGTCCACAGATAATACTTATATTGCTAAATGCACTCTGACAAAAAATACTTCAATACTTCAAGCAATCTGGAGTCCCTAAAATAACACAGCCTTCTGGGATTTTTTTTCTTTTTAGATATATTTTAAATGTAATTTGTGCTTGTTTGACACATTTTTGGCCTTGGTATTTATTTATTTTTTTAATGAGAGCAACAGGAAAATGATTATTCTGGGGGAAAGTCTGGCCACCAAAACATTGATTGGAATCTCTGAAAGCTCTGAATGCACATTTGTGGATGTTTTTAAGATAATGCAGCTTGAATGTCTACTTTAATGGCAAACTGACAAGATCTGAGGAGTATATCTGAACAAACAGTTCAATTAAATGGATATTAGACAAAATAGCACTGGGAATTGAGACAGAAACGCTTTGATGTTCTGGTACATTTACTCCCCTAGAGGCTCTGAGGTCTTTCTTCAAACTGATAACCACTGTGAATGTTACTCCCATCCATTTCTGTTTACTCTGGGGAAGTCTGATTTTAAACACCATTGTGTTGCCTTGAAAGAACGGCGGATTGCTTGTGCATTCCTAAAGATATGTTGTGAGGTGGAAGAATGGTTTTTGTTTGCGTGGGACACTTGTGGAACAGAATTTTTTTCCCTATTAAGTGCTTTTGGCAAGAAAAAAAATCAACACCATTAATCTTGGACAAAGACGACGCATTAGTCATTGTGTCACTAAGCACTTTGCCCACAATAGAAGGAAGAAAACGGCGTCATAAACCAATAAATATTGCCATTAATCAAAATGTGTAAACGCTTTAAAAAGAAAAACTGTTATGGTAAAACGAAGGCCGTTGGGTGTGCTTTTACCTTCTCTTGGTGCAGCAGGATCCCATGCCGACCACATCTGGACAAAGAAAAAAGGAGTCCAGCACACAATATAAGCAAGTACCACTACAAATGTCATTTTTACTGTGCGGATCTTAGCCTTCGAAATGAGTCTCACGCTGCTCACACGAGAAAAGGGTTGGGCGCCTTTGGAGGGCCTTGGAGTGAGAGCCAGAAAGTGCTCCCTTCTGGTTTTTAGATTGAAATTCTCCCATATTTTAAAACATATCAAACCATAGCAGATGCTTAAAATGGCCACTGGGAAAATGTAAATGCTCAAACTCATCCAAGTGATGTATGCTTTGGCACCCCAAGGCTGCACGAAGTCCCCCCAGCAGTCATACACACCATTACCGACCTCCCTAAGAGAAAATATGTAAGCTTGAGGACTGCTGAATATCAGGCTGAGCATCCAAGAGGCGATCACACAGAAGCGGTCTTTTTTCTTGTGCACGGAGCGAAGTGGCTGGCAGACTGCCAAGCACCTGTCTATCGACATTAGAACCAGCATGTACGTAGACGCAAACATACCCACGACCTGGAGGTATTTCACCAACCTGCACAGCAAATCGGGTCCATAGAAGCGAAAAGTGATATCCCAGATGAGCTGAGGTAAAACCTGAAAGATTGCAACTACAAGGTCTGCGATGCTCAGGTGCTTCATGAAGTAATACATCCGAGACTGACTGTGCTTGGTGGTGTGAATAGCCCACAGAACGCACATATTGCCTGTCAGCGCGAGAAGCAGCACAAGGACCAGAACGGTAACTTCCACTTTAGCCACTTCTTCATTTCGTTTCAGAGGGTTCACCGTGGTGTTTCCTACGTAGCTTTCATTTTCACGACTTGAGCTGCTCCATGTGAGATTGTGAGACCAACTGTACTGCTCGCGTAAAAGGTCTTCCATCGTGCGTAAAAGCGCCACTTAGGCGCAGCCAGCAGTCACATCACAAACCCAGGTTCGGGACCTCTATCAGCTGTGTTAGCTTAGTTTCCCTACGTAATTTTCTGCCAGCACACCCCGTTATTATTATTATTATTATTATTTTCCCTTTCTGTTTAATAATCCGAACTCAGGACTGCAGTCTGCAGAGAGAAGGGAAAAAAATTATTATTGAAAACTCTTGGTCATTGCACTTTAATCTTTAAACTAATAAACAGTAAATTAACGAAATAACAGTATTTAAGTGATTATGTTCAAAAGGCGCTCACCCACTAAATCATCCTATCTTCTCTTAGGGACTTTGGAGCACCACTGTCCTCATCACTCGCTGCCTCCAGTTTGATGTCTGATCTACCGAAGCTCTGCTTGCTACCAGTGTCAGTAACCCCCTCCCCTCGTTTCATTTTCCTTCGAAGGAAACTGCTTACTTGGGTATGGACCGTATAGTTCTTTCTGTCTCGCTCTTCCTCCCCCATACGTTCACTTAGTGTAAGCTTTGACAATGTGAAATACTTTGAGCCAAATCATCCCAATAGCCTAAAAGCAGTGTCATTTTTGTTTCACAGTTTCACAGTTAGTGCTTTCAGCATCTACATTATTTAAAGCGAGCTGTTGTTGGAGTCCAAAAATTCCAGTCTGGACTATAAAGGTCAATATTTTCTCAAAGATACTGTATATGGAAAAGGATGTTATCTGGATGAATGCCATTATATATGGGATTGTGATGTGGTGCTGTAATTTGGCACTTTATGCTAAGGGTCTGTCAGGTAATAGCAAAAAGCATAATAACTGTGCAAGGGAAGTGACTCACTGAATCCAGTTGCACATAAAGAATGTGGGTTGATGTCATTAATACCATCAAAAGTGCCCTTCACTCTCATGCAACAGTCAAAATGAATGTAGTCATTTTGTTTAAATGTCAGATATCCTACTTTTGATTCAGACTCCATGAAATCACTCTCATCCATTTTAAAGCAGTAATTTAATGTTTTATCATTTCTTTATAGAACAACCTTATAGCAATTCAATTCTGAAAAAAATCATTATATATTTCTGACATATTTTAGTTACTTAAAAACAATAACCGTGATTTCAGTGTATGAAGGTAATCTTATTTCATTAAAATCTTTACTTTCTTTATTAAATCCAGTGTTTCTTATTTGCGTCACTGCAAACGGGTCTCTTTTATTTTGACTCGATAAGAAATATTTATTGTTCTTAATGAACATGAACATGGGAACATCAGATGTACAGTATGAAAGACATTTGTTCCTTTCAGTTTATCTTAGAATAGGTGCAGATGAACACTTGCAGGTGTTCTATTGTCTGTTATCACTCAGCTGAACTGGCCTGTCTGAATTGCCTTGTCTGTTAAATTTAATCTAACCAGACATGTTGGCAGATTTCTCTGTCTCGCTCTTTTTTTTCCCATTTAAGTATCAGTACATGTAACCTACATGTTTTTGCTTTTGGCTCAACTAGTTGACCTAAGGCAATGATGCATAGCAACGAGAATGAGCTATAACATCCTCTATTTTCACTGCCAGTAAATTGATAACTTGGCATAAAGCATGGAGCGCTCACACAGAGTACATGAAACATAGAAAAGAACATAAATAACTATTTCAAAATATGTAAGAAATTTACATTGCTCATTATATTAAGTACATGTACTTAATATAAGAGGCACTTAGTTCATTTATGTCTCAGGACACCTCTGAATGTATTGACCAAACTACTGTCCATGTTTAATTATTTATCCAAATAAATCTCAAGACATCTTTATGACTAACTGCTTAATATGCAATGCAGTACAGCTTTGAGTCATTGTAAGTAATGCACTGTACTACAAAGTACTGTTCTTAACCTCTTTTTGTTGAATAAAAGTCACTCATTGCACCAGACATTAGCATTTGGGCACATCCCCAAGCATTGGCACTCTACACTGTGGCGTGTCAGTGCTGCCCATAAAGCCATCATAAAAACCGCAATACAAGCACCTACCAACATGTTGCCTTGAAAATATAAAAATATCTTATTTAGAAGTAAGAACTCAGTAATGCTTGGAAAATCTCTCAATAATAATAATACTAATGATGATGTCTCTGTTTTGGCTCCTGGCTCCTCTTTGCATAATAGGCAAAATTTAATTAGTGAGAAGGAAGCTGTAGATTAGAGGTCAAATAAGTTTTCATAATACTTGAAATGGTTTCAAATAGCAAACTCCCAGCAGTGTATGAAGTCTAATCCATTTCTTGAAGCAATAGCTTCAAGAAATAAATCCTGGCAGATTTAACCGCTAAAAAACTTTCCACCTCTTTCAGTAATTTTTAAATATTTATGTGGGGACATAAAAACGACATTAACCAGGTTCTGTCATCTCTGAACTAGTGGCCTCTACTGGTTTGGTGAGATATCTGTTAAATGGTTCTCAGGGACTTTTAGATTTTAATGTCTTGTTGTCAGATAAAAAAAAAAAAAGCATCTGTGACATTAGAGCAAACAAATGGTTGATTACACTGACCTTAGGTCAACAACAGGGACTAAGATATAAGCAGTTAATAAGAGAACACAGAACAGATCAAAGTTTCCATTGGGGTATAAACTTAAACCCCAGACCAAACCATACTTACGTCAGACCCAAGAGGCTCGCTTATTGTGACAGAAAGCTATAATTTACTTACAAGAAAATATGCCAGACCGACTCACAGAAGTAACTGTGTGCTCTTAGAGCAAAGGACTTTATCAGAAAAATAGTCTGCCAGTCAGTACTGAGTCAGCTTTTGCTTTTTTCCCCCCAAAAATATGGCCAAGAGATTAATGCTAATAAAGTCAGCTTTGAACACAAGTTTAAATGATTTTGAACAGAACAGATCTATGACCCCACATCAGATAAGGTTATACCGTTCCCACGATGAGGACATCTGGACCCTAATCATTTGAGATTCTGAGGATATTTTCCTGAGCAAATGTACACTTTATTTCATTAATTACAGTCTGACAGGAAAATTCTAACACTCTCTTCCTTTCCAGTTTGTAGAAAATAGTGACACATGCCAGCTGATAAAACCTGAACACACCAAACCCAGCTCTTTGTCTCAACCTGGATATGTAACATAAGTGTATTTATTAACAGCTTTTACACAAAAAGAAAAAACTAAATAAGAACATTAAATGCCGCAATAGCCATAAAAAAAAACAACAACAAAAAAAGCCAACCAAATATTCCACAGTCACAAAAAAATAAACGGGTAGTTTCATAAACAATAATTCAATAAAATTTCTCAACAGAAAGCTTGTTTAAATAAAAACGTTTTTAACTGCTTAACTTCTCAGTGTCACAGACCGAAAGGCTTTGAGACACATCGGACCAGGCAACCTTTTTCCCATCTTCTGCTGTCCAATTTTGGTGAGCCTGAATAAACTGTGACCTCAGTTTCTTGTCCTTTGCTGATATGAATGGCACCTGGTGCTTATGCTGTAGGCCATCTGCATCAAGCTTCAATGTGTTCTGCATTCAGAAATGCTCTTCTGCATACCTTAGGTTGCAGCAAGTGGTTACTTTTAGTTGGATTCTTATCACGTTCATGCAGTCTGGCTATTCTCCACTGGTCTCTGAAATTAATTAGGCGAAGAGAACTGCTGCTGACTGAATATTTTCTCTTTTTCAGCCCCCAACCACAACATATTTAAAGTCACTTAAATCACTTTTCTTTTTCATTTTGATCCTTGATTTGAACTCTGGCCTGTCATCTTGACTATGTCTACATGCCTTAATGCATTGAGTTGTGCCATGTTAATCACTTATTAGATATTTACACTCACAAGCAGTTGAACAGGTGTACCCAATGAAGTGGCAGGGGGATCTATATTTTTTAAATAAAAAGCTTATGGGTTAAAAAGTAACTGGACAGAAACATAAAGTCAAATATAATCGACACACCCACAGACACAAGCCTACGCTCTGTATATTCCCTGCTAATGGTCTCTGAGGCTTTCATTGCAGCCACCTTTGGCTCATTTTTATTTGGCAGTTTCCTTGCCATTAGTCTGATTCTCTTCAAATAAAATGCAGCTCACTTGAATTGGGACCATGAGAGTCACTTAACTAACCAAGAGTATACATAATGGTAAATGGCCTGTATTTGTATAGCGCTTTTACATACCTATTCTTCCCTGGTTGCTTTGGTTGTGTATTAAGGATTGTTGACTTGTTGATGCTTTTGACCTAATGGAGCAAAATGCTGCTATTTCATTCAATCACTTCATTCAGCAATGAAATACTTAAAAACTGCCAGTGTGCCATAATGAAACTATGCCCACTGTAGATGACGCATGTTGGCTTATGAGTGGGGAATTTTTACTCCACCCACTCGTCTCCATCTTTTCCTTTCTTTTGTGAGTGTTTGTCAACGATAGCCTTGCCTTTCACTGCAGGTCATGAAGTCTCCTTTTGATTGTTGTAATTTTTCCCATGTTTTTACAATCATCATCATTCTTTTTTTCTTTCATTATCCATTTTTCTAATATTGACAAGCCATTTGACCTCAATCCAAAAGACAACCCTTAAAACTCAATCAAGTGTCACTGTATTAATTTAGATACTACTGTTGGTGCACTTCCCTCTCGCTGTTTACAATATGCACACTATGTACCTAGGTAGTGTATAAATATCAACTGGGTAATCTTGTTTCATGGAAAGTTGTGCACTTGTTCAAGTTGTGCAAGTGGGGCTTGTTGGAACTTAGGTGGTAAAAGAGGTCTTATATCAATCTGAAGATTGGGAAATTGATTCCCAATGCCTCCATTCTGTATGTCAAAACATCCTTGGGCAATATTCTGAACTCAGAGTTTTCTCTGATGTGTCCATCATCAAAGATAAGGTCTTGAATAATCAGGCTACATCTTCTAAGACAGCCTCTCTAGTTTTAAGATAAACTTAAACCTTTTCTTTTTGATAAAGCATAGATTTGGGCTGGATCAGGTAACCCTGAACCCTAGCGTAGTTACATTGCCATTTTAAACTTGAATTTTTGACCATTAGGGATATAGGTACTTGTACCTTGCACTTATGGAAACAAAATACTTAGTAGTAGTACATTATTTGGGACACTGCATATGTTTTAAGTGCTTCATATCCCACTCTGGTCATTCTGACAGTACTGTGCAAAAGTCTTGAATCACTCCTCTTTCTTAATATTTTGCTTTCAGTGAGCCACATTTTCTTGTACTATTTAAAGTGGTTCTTTAAACAGTAATTGTTCTCTGGGTGAAGATCTCTCAAAGTGGTTTTTTGAAGATTGACTGCTTTTTTACTCATTTTCTGTCTAGTCATTGTACCTGGCCATTTTTTGTTT